TCAGATTGTACCTATACTTTTTGTACAAATTCTTTTATAGTACAACTTGAACTTGTACTTTTATGCGATGGTACAACTTCAAGTTGTAAAGTTGTACCATAACATAATAGTACAAATTGTTTTATGGTACAACCTAAACTTATACATTTAATGTTATGATACAACTTTAGTTGTACATTAAAGCACCAATGTTATATAGCATAGTAGAAGTGCTCCCAGAAAATTCAGATCTAAGAGTTGTGAATTAAAAATATTTTTTTTTACTTTTCTTAGTCAGCTCTAATCTTCTACATTCTAACTCGGATTTCAATTTGTTTGCACAGATGGAACGAGTTCGTTGTGCTCTACAAAATGAGATCAATTTTCAATATATTTCAACATTTTTTTTTTCATACCTCTCGTTACCACTACATACCATATGGTAAAATTTTCATTTTTAAGTCGTTTTTGAAAACGTTTGCTCAGAAGGAACGAGTTCATCATGATCTATTGGATCTACAAATTTCTGGGTGAAAAAAATACAGGACAAAAAATTATCATACTTTACCACTATGGTATGTGGGTGGTAACTTGTGGTAAACAATGATGAAAGTCGTAAATGACAGTTAGTATACTCCTACTATCATATATTCAACTTTCCTACCAAATTGGTGTGTTCATACCATCATGGTACACTTTCTTGCCATATGATATTAAATAGGAGCATACCATATAGTATTGACTGGTAAAAAACGACTCAATTTTTTTTTGTTCTAAAAATATATCAAAGTGGATATCATTTTAAAGAGCACAATTAATCTGATTTATCTTTAAAAAAAATTTAAATTTCGACTTAAAACGAGAGAGAACTCATCCATTAAAATTTAAAGGGGGGAAAATAAATGACTTTCCATAAAAGAGAGGGATGTTGATGTCATGCTTATGTGGACGGGTTACTCATGGTTACTCACCATAAGGTTAGTGACCTGATCCGCTCCCGATTCCACCCAGAGTAAAGAAGACGAAACATCAGAGAAACCAAAAGAGAGTCGGCGACCAAATCGGAGGAAGAAGATCGGAATCAGTCCCCGTTCCCAGTCGCCATATAATTTCCGGTAACTCCTGCCGTCGACATTGACCTGCTTTAGTCGCTTCCGTAATGAAGAATCAAAAGAGGTATAAAACTTTAACAAAGAGAAACAGTCTCAACTGCAATATAATTTCCGGTAACTCCTTTCGTCAACATTGACTTGCTTTAGTTGCTTCCGTAATGAAGAATCAAAAGAGATATAAAACGTTAACAAAGAGAAACGCCAATCCTCGGGATTCTAAACGCCCGCTATCCGTTGCAGTCACCAGTAAGACGCTAACACACCTCAATAACTCGAGTTGTTGGGAGAATGTTATACTAGATCTTATACAACTCTTTAACATGTCCTTCAAACGAAAGTCAACTCATGGGCTTGAAGTTTGCACAGACTCACTATACCTTTTGTTTTAATCAATTGTAAATATTGAGGGTTGTGAAGATTCGAACACATGACCACTTACTTAAACCAACTCTGATACTATGTCATAAACCAGTTAATCTCAATAACTCGAGTTTTTGGGGAAGGTTATGCTGGATCTTATACTACTCTCTAACACGGACAACGTTAGATTACACGGAGAGGTAGTAGAGCACTCTCGGTCCCTCGCAGCAGTTTCTGTACATTCCTTTGAGTTTGTGAGTTGTCTGAATCTCGTTATGCTTGACAGAGACGTAGCTGTTTATGCTCTGAGTTGGAGCTTGTGGCCGTGATGCCGTCGACGAAGACGAGCTCAAGTATGTTTACCACGAAAACGGCCAAAAATCTATTCAGGTATACTTTGCTAGGATGAATCGCGAAATTCGCTAGTGAATTCTTCTTGATGCTTGCAGAACGTTCTAAAATTAGGGATTACTATAGCTGTGGTAAATCATATGTTCTGGTGGTATTAGATTGTTGAACAGTTTTTGGAATGTTTTCAGAGATTAGGGGATTGGTGTATGTAGCTATGTGATTCAAGATTTCTTCAGGTCATGCTGTCACTAATTTCGTCTGCATTTTGATTAGGTCCTCCCAACGTTTTCTGCTTTGTTTTCGGTGGAAGTAATGATGAATGGGTTAGACATACACCTGGTTTAGAGTGAGTACTCTGAAACTAATTTTACTCCTATGGCGAATCACTAGCTGAGTATCATGGTCTGCCTGTTTGTTTTGGTAGATATGATCCTATGCTTCTGCTGCACGGACAGCAGCATATCGAACTTTACAAGCCATTCCCTTCAAGTGCATCTGTAAGTTCTTCGAACTGAAGTGGCCATTCAGTCTAGGGGTTACAATTCCAGCTTTGAAGTAGTTGTCACTTGATTGTGTTTGTAATGCTATTTGCTCGCTGATTGCTGATGCAGCTGCTGAACAAATCAAGTCTAGCTGGGATTGTCTGAGAAGGATCCTTAAGAATATGGGTATGAATGTGAAGTTGATTAGGTGGATCATGGGGCTAGTGACTGGTTCAAAGCTCTCTGTTCTTGTTAATGGGGAGTCGACTGGATTTTTCAGTATGGAGCGTGGTCTGAAGCAAGGGGATCCGCTTTCTCCCCTTTTGTTTAGCATTGTTATGGATATTTTTTCGTTCATTATTAACTCTATGCAGGAGGTTGGCCTTATCTCGGGTTTCCATCTTGATGAGAATGAACTTCGCGGTCAGGTCTCTCATCTCTTGTATGCAGACGACGCGATTGTTTTCTGCAATGCTACAGAGGATGAAGTGTTCAACATGCTGGCAGCGCTGCTGTGTTTTCAATCCATCACTGGCCTGAGGATTAATCTTGAGAAGAGCAAGATCTTTCCGGTTGGCGAAGTCGAAAATGTTGAGAGGTTAGCAAATATCCTTGGATGTGACTGGAGCTTCCTCCACACGGTCTATCTTGGTCTTCCGTTGGGTGCTCAACCCACATCCTCTTCAATATGGGAACCTGTTTTATTTAGTATGCAAAGAAAGTTGGCTGGGTGGCAGGGCAAATACTTATCACTGTGGGGAAGAGTTACTTTGTGCAAGGCGGTCTTGGCTAGTCAACCACTCTATCAGTGTTCTCTGTTTCGGGCTCCTGTCAATGTTATTCGGAAACTTGAAAGAATTCAGAAGGACTTCATTTGGGCGGGTACGAGCCCGGAGAAGAAGATTCACCTAATGGCTTGGGACTCTTGCAAGGTGCCGAAGAAATTTGGGGGTCTTGGTATCCCGGATTTAAAGAGTCGTAACACTGCTTTGCTGGCTAAATGGTTATGGAGGTTTGCCCATGAGAGAGGTGAGTGGTGGAGGGAGTTGATCAATATTAAGTTTTCTCACTCTGCTTCGGAGTGGATCTCGGGGGAACTTAGGGGTCCTATGGGTTGTAGCCCATGGTCTCAAATTTTGAAGACTTCGGAGGAGTTCTGGAATCTTGCGTGGGTGGAGCCTAGGGGAGGTGCGTGGACCTCCTTCTGGTATGATGTTTGGGTTTGTAGAAGACCCCCGCTGGCCGTGAGCTTTCCAAGAGTGGCCGCTGCCGCCGAGTCCCATCGCTGTACAATCGCTGAAGTTCTGCGTCGCGAGGATGGGCAGCTCTCTTGGGATCTAACCCTTCGCCACCGTCTTCGGGGTGGGGCTGAGGGTGAGAGAACTGAACTTTTAAATTACTTACATAGTGTTCCGATGAGTTTGTTTTCTGCAGGACCTTCGAGACTAATTTGGGAGCCGGCTCCAAGTACCAGGTTCCGTGTGAAGTCCATGTATGAGAAGCTTGTTGAAGAACAAGCTAACCCGGACTCCGATTTTCCCGTGGATGCTGTCTGGCTACAGTGTGCCCCCTTCAAAGTCTGTGTGTTCATCTGGCTGGTCTACCATAACAAGATTCTGACGCAAGATAACCTGAAGAAGCGCGGGTGGATGCTGCCTAATCGTTGTGCCTTGTGCCGCGAAGAAGAGGAGACTACAGACCACTTGTTCCTGTTCTGCAGGTACTCGCAGAGGGTGTGGCAGGTCATGAGAAGTTTTGTGAAGCTCCTTGTGAGTCTGCCCTCGTGCGTTGCTTCTGTCTTAAGAGTTTGGTGCAGAAAGCAGCCGGTCTGCCTCCGGGATTGGTGTACGAGAATCTTCATTCATGCCTTGTGCTGGCGTATCTGGCTAGAGCGCAACAGCAGAGTCTTTAGAGATAAAGAAGAGATGGCCAACGTCGTCTGCGTAAAGATTGGCCGCAACATGGTGGACTGGCTTTGCGCCCACGGGAAGGTCGACAGGATGGTTGCTGAAAATTGGTTAAGAGGCTTGAAGAACCGAGTTTTGCCTAGAGTAGCTGGCGATCTCCAGGTGTAAGGTTGTGCTCACCGGGAGGAGATTTCATTTTGGAGCTTCTCTGTCTGGTCCTTCTGATTCGGAGGCGCCCTGGGTGTTGTTTGAGTCGTGCTGCCCTGCAGGTTTCTCCTTTTGTTTCGCTCTGTTTTGGGATGAGGTGTTGCTCCCAGACCCGCCTCTTTCGTGATTGCGATCTTTCTTTGTAGTCTTTGGGCCTGGTTGTCTTGTTGTCTTGGCTTTGGCTGGGCGGTGTCGCCGGTTTTGTCTGGCCGGTCTGTTCGGTGGCTCGCCGCTTTCGGCCGCGGGTCGCTCTTGTTTTTTCCTTTCGTTTTCTTTTTTCTGCTGGTCTGTACTAATTTCCTCTCCTTAAGTAATTGATTTCACCTTTATAAAAAAAAAAGTTACTCCAGCAGATTTTCGTGTGTTATGAATCCTTCTTCCTTGTTATGCAACTAGGGAATCAGCATTGTTGGGTTAATTAAGCATGAAATCGATGCTAATCCTGTCGTCCCTTGAGTGGTCTGATTAACTCTAAGACCAGAACAGTCTTCCTCACTAGGAACCCTTATGTCTTCTCATGTTGAATGAGCAATAGCTTGATCGGAATGCCTCCCAGTCCAATCTGGAGTCCATAAGTCTTTTTGTTTTTCCCCTCAAAATTTCAGGCATTGCTGTATAGGCTGTCCGGTGATTATAATCCAGTGCATTCCGATCCTGCCATTGCTAAAGTCGCAGCATCGCAGGGTCTGTAATATCTCCAATCCTTTATCTCCTCATTAGTTATTCCTTCACATTGTTGTCGTTGTTTCAAAGTAACAGCACCCATGTTCTGTATCGACATTGCACATTCCCACGTCCTATATTGCACGGACTGTGCACTCTTGGATTCGCAGTCCGTGCAGTCATCAAATGCACCGGTAGAGGAGACGCGAATGCAGTGAAGAACATCCTGGGAAGGTTCCTCTTACACATTTACCCTGGCGAGACTCTGATCTCCGAAATGTGGCTTCAAGGCTCGAGGTAAATAAGCCTACCAATCCTTACTGAAAAGAACACTGATTAGTGAGTTGAACATCTAATTGATTGGTTTAAACTGGTTTCCCATTTAATTGTCTGTAGGGTCCTTTACCAGGCAAAAGTCAAAGAAAGAGATCGGACCGTGCTGGCTGGCTATGTCGATCTTCGTCATATACCTTCAGCTCTGTAAACCCTCTTTTTGAATAACAGCTCTGTCAACCCAGTGGGCGAAAAATGTCTGAAAACAATTGTTCTGGGGAGAAGATCGTTAATTGCCCTTTTAGCAGTGGGGAAATGACATTCGTGCAGAAGCTTGCAATACTGTATGCTTATAAGTTATGTTGGTAGAGTGATTGTGGTATTGAACTTTGAATTCAAAAAATTCCGATTTCAATGCTTGTATAATGTAATCTTCCTCCTCTTTGCTTTCCGTTATAAAAATCGTTTTTGTTTGTTTCATATATAAAATTGGCGTATGATCGTTGGTCATTTGTGTAATCCAATAATGTATGCATATTTACATTATTTTGATTTGAATTTTCATTGCAGACAATTTAGTCTCATATAATTAAACAATACGAATTATAAGAGAAATTTTACAATGCTATATAGCATTGGTGTTATAGGTTTTTGCCTTCATGGTACAATTTCAAGTTGTACCTTTAACGTTATGGTATAACTACAGCTTGTACCTATACTATTTTATAAATTCTTTTATGGTACAACTTGAACTTGTACCTTTATGTGATGGTACGACATAAAGTTGTGAAGTTGTAACATAACATAAGAGTATAAATTCCTTTATACAGTTTACGTTATGATACAACTTTAAGTTGTACATTAAAGCACTCATGCTTTATAGCATAGTAGAAGTGCTCGAATTATAAATATAAAAAAACAATTGATTATGTTAGTTTAAGTTTTGTTTGGGTATTTAAATTATCGTTATTTTCAATAGCTCCTATGTTCCATCTTTGTACTAAAAAAAAGTATACGTGTCGTGTTCGGATTGGTCAAACTCCTCCAACTCTAGTAGCGAAAAATTCGTTTCAAATTACATCTCGATCCCCACCCATTTTTTTGCTTTTTTGCCTTTTTGGTTTTTCTGGTTCTTGCCTTTCGGTGCCTCCCAGCGAAAACTAACACAAGAGAGGAAGTGGCTGGAAAAAAGGGGATAAAGAAAAATGATACATTCTCCTGTCGCGCTTCCATAAATGCTTCTCAATCACATGTTAACCAATCATCGCTCCACCACCACCGATTGCCGCCAGATCTAATCTGATCCAGCATTTCATTTCATCTGAGTTCGAGGAACTTCCATTCGGAGCCGGAAACTGGTGAGTCATGGAGGAGAAGCTGATTTCTCGGCTGGAATCGGCGGTGGCGCGGTTGGAAGCGCTGTCTTCCTCCGGCTTCGCATCGCGGGACATTGGCGGAGGAGATGACGCTTCGTCGGATCCGTCGATTCTGGCATTCGACGATCTGATTCGGGAGTCGTTCGGTAGGGTTTCCGCCGCTGCGGAGAAGATAGGAGGACAGGTCCTGGAGGTGACGAAGGTTCTCGGTGAGGCTTTCAGTGTCGAGAGGGAGCTTCTCGTCAAGATCAAGCAGACTAAGGTAAAGTAAAGCTTTGTTGTTCGTGTTGTCTCCTTATATCTTCGATGCTTGTTCGCCATTAAGTACGGAATGGTTCTTCGTTTTTTTGTTTTTGTTTTTGGTCTGTTGAATAGAAACCGGATATGGCGGGATTGGGTGAATTCCTGAGGCCTCTCAACGTGGTGATTACGAAAGCGAGTGCAATGACGGAAGGGAGGAGATCGGATTTCTTTAACCACTTGAAGTCTGCTGCTGATAGTCTTTCAGCTTTAGCATGGATTGCTTACACTGGCAAAGATTGCGGTCAGTGAAATTCCGTTGCTGCTTTTGTAATGTGTCCATCCAGACAACTGTTTGATTTTCTTATATTATTGGATTGTTTGATATGTTAAGGTATGAGCATGCCCATTGCACATGTGGAAGAAAGCTGGCAGATGGCCGAGTTTTACAATAACAAGGTAATTCAAGTTTGTTCATCCATTGGTCTTGATCCCTTTTTAGCTATCATCTCAGTAGCATAGAATTCCCCGACTGGAAAGCTTGTCTTCTTCCTTCCTTCTTTCTTGTTGCACAATATTTTGCTTCCCCATTTGTATTACTTAATCTGGTGGACGAGTATTGGTACAATTAGCTCAGACAAGTTTCCTGCCTCTGCTTGTGCTTAGAACGTATATAATTTTTAAGTATTCAAAGCCATACCGAGCTTCGGAATAAGAAATGATACTGTTCGATAGACTTAATGTGGTAGACAAGTATCAGTAGAATGTTCGAGTTCCAGCTCTATATTGTTCACTGCCATTCAATTTATTACTTAATCATTGTTCTCAATACTTTAGTTAGGATAGATAGGTACTAGCATAATAATTCGAGATAGGGAAATGAGCCCCAAATCATTGTAATGAACAATTAGATGATCAAGTATGCAGGTTGGTTCAGTACTGCTTGAGAGTTGAGAGAGGCTCGTTCATCTTGGAAGGCACCTGTTTGTAGCAGTTGTGCCCTATTCCTCTATTTATTATCTAATAGCTTGTTGCTTAGTGGACTTCTTATGGTTTCCCGAACTTCAGTACTTCTGGTCATCCACCCTGAAAGAGCGGGTAGGAAGGAATTTACTGTTCTGATGTTTACTATCTCCATATCGCGGTCATGTAGTAACGAGATTTGCTTTGGAAAGGAAGGAAGTTGTTAAGCAAGCAAATGTATTCGTTACTGATAACTATTTTCTAAACTCAGATTCTTGTTGAGTACAAAAACAAAGACCCAAATCATGTTGAGTGGGCCAAAGCTGTGAAGGAACTGTACTTGCCAGCTTTGAAGGATTTTGTTAAGAGACATTATCCCTTAGGTCCAGTATGGAGTGCTACCGGTAAAACTGTAGCCTCCGCTCCAACCAAAGCTGGTCCGCCAAGTGCTCCTGCTGCTCCACCACCCCCACCAGCTTCTCTCTTCAGTGCTGAATCTTCTCAGCCTTCATCCTCAAAACCAAAGGAAGGCATGTCTGCTGTTTTCCAAGAAATTAATTCAGGGAAGCCTGTGACTGCTGGTATGGCCTTTGTCTTATGTTTCCTTTGATAGTTTAAGATTCCCAGCTGTGCTCTTCTTTAAGGACAATCTCTTGCTTTTCTAGGTCTGAGAAAGGTCACAGATGATATGAAATCAAAGAACCGTGTTGATAGAACGGGTGTTGTTCCTACCACTGATAAAGGCGGAGCTGCTTCATCATCTTCCTTTGCTAAGCCTAAGACAGGACCTCCAAAGTTTGAGCTTCAAATGGGTCGGAAGTGGGTGATCTTTGTCATTATTTGATGCTTTGTTCTCTTAACTTCACTTTTCAGTTGACAATTGTTTTTTGTGCATAACAAATGACTGTCTGCCAATTCACTGCATATTCTGACAGGTGGGTTGTTGAGAATCAGATTGGACAAAAGAACTTAGTCATTAGTGAGTGTGATTCAAAGCAGTCAGTGTATATGTATGGGTGCAAAGATTCTGTTTTGCAAATCCAAGGTAGCTTTCCATCATTACTATGAACCCAATCTCTTCACTGTAGTTATGGTAGAAGAAAGATTATGAACTGTGATGAATTTCCTGTTACGGGGAATGCTAATAAGTTATCTAAACCTACAAGTTAGAATGTTTATGAACTGTGATGAATTTTCCTGTTATGAGAAGTACTAATAAGCTATCTATCTACTTCAACTTGCAGGGAAAGTTAATAACATAACGATTGACAAGTGCACCAAGTCAGGGGTGGTATTTACGGTTAGTAAGCAATATGTGCAGTCCAAACAACGAAATTCCCTGATGATTGTCTGAGCTCATTCTGTTCCTTTTATGTAAATGCATAGGATGTGGTAGCCGCTTGTGAGGTTGTGAATTGCAGTGGAGTTGAGGTGCAATGCCAGGTATATCCTGAAAACAAGGATCCTGAAACTCTGACGTATCAACTCATTTCCATTGTTAAAAAGTATTTGTTTCCAGTTATTGGGCCCGTAAGTGAGTTTTGGCTCTCCTCTATTGCAGGGTTCAGCTCCAACAATCTCAGTGGACAACACTGGTGGCTGTCAGTTGTATTTGAGTAAAACTTCTCTCGAGACTTCCGTAACTACAGCAAAGTCTAGTGAGATCAATGTGTTGGTGCCTGGCTCAGATGGTGACTTGGTAAGTTTTATTTTCCATGTTCTTCTCCCCCGGTTTAGTATCTGAGAGTTGCGCATCAAATTTCCAAATTTTATCTACACAATCTTTCTATCAGATAGTAACACCACCGATGATAACCCATGTGCTGAGAAATTCCATCCGGAGATCACAAATCAATACTTGGATTAGCTGTGTCCGAGTCTGAATTAGGCATGTTGATTTTACCTAGGTTGTATGTAGCCGTAGTTTGGAGATTTGAGGTTTCATAGTTTTCGAAAGTATAATCATCTGATTATAGGATTCAAATAATGATGTTCTCATCAATAAAAGCATCTGGAAGAAGCTAGATTCATGTTGCTGCGAATTGCTGAATCTAGGTTGTTACAAACGGTTGCTAGTATTCATGGGTTACGTTCGACTTAATTGCAGGTGGAGCATGCTTTGCCACAGCAGTACGTTCACCTGTACAAGGATGGCAAGTTCGAAACCACTCCAGTCTCCCACTCTGGAGGGTAAGTTCCAGTCATCGAAGTATCCTGGCGCAGCTCCTCTCTTTCTCCTACTATTTGGCCGTCACCGGAGTTTTGATGAGTGGTTTCATTATTCTTTTTTTTCTTCTTCTTTGTTTGGCTTGTGGTTGAGAAGTGGCTTTCATTTTCTCATGTTTCCGTTTTGAGTTGATTTGCTGCCGTTAGTCCAAATGACCTTTAGCGTCATGTCTTTACGTTCTCATTTTCCTTTCCATGGGGGCGTTCATATATATGACAATATCGTTTCGAAAGCCTTTTAGACTTTTTGTGTTTGCTTTGTAAGTGCACTTTTCATGCTTTGTAATGAGTAATGAACTCGTGAGAAAAGAACTCATGCTTTGTAATGAGTGAAATGGCATGGTGGCCGACCTTTTCCTTTGCTTGGAAATAGAGTCTTATTGCAGGCTTTTATCCTTGTAAAATGTTAATTGAAATGATAACTTCAGACACTTGTACCGATTGATGCTAACATGTTGCCTTACCTGGTGCTCGCCTTCCAAAATTTGCCTATGGGCTAAATTACATATTTGGTCACTCAAATTACATAAATCTTTCACGTTTGCCACTCAAATTATTTTTCTTTCTTATTCGCCACTAATTTTTCAAATCGTTTCACCGTTAGTCACCGGCCGTTAGTCTCCGTTAGATTCCGTTAACACCGTTAGTTTTTTGATGACGTGGCAAACGGAACTGAGACTGGACCATTGACAATTTAACGTGTCCAAAAATTAAAAAATTGAAAAATTAAAAAAATTAAACCCCATCATCATCCTCTCGCTCTGCACCTCGCGAGCTGCGCCAAAAAGCTTTGTAATCACCCCACTGAAACCATCATCGCCACCGTCATACCACAAGTCCGAGCATTTTCTTTTCTCTCTCCACCGTCTCTCCGGCTGTCATCTTCTCCGAACTCATGAACTCAATTCTCCTCTACGCCGACAAGACCCACCGGCCACCGTCCGAAGCAGCGTTGCTTTGTCACTCAAAGGTTCGCCTATTGGTCCCGAGTAGTTCTTTCCCAGCGCGACGATGAACAAAAGGAATCTATGAATTGCTAGTTAAAATCTAGCTTAGGAATCCGAATTGCAATCGGCAGCAGGGATTCTACGAATTCTGGTCCATTGAACAATTTTCGGATTGATTTTCTTTTCCCTCGAATTGGGGATTGGTGGGTTTTTTGCTTTTTTTTAGCACTATTTTGGATCCAATAGGGGGAAGAAGAGAGGAATCCAAGGATGGTTAAAGCTTACACACAGGAACATGTATACAAGCATTGGTGGGTGAGTGTGACATCAGCATCATGGCGGAAGTTCTCCGACCTGGGGTATTTCACTCGCATCGCCGAAGAAAGGATGATGAATCCGTTGTTGCAGAGGCGGGAATCACGTCTTAGAGGGAGCGAACAGAGTATAAGGCCTGGACAACGCGGTGGCGGTGGACTCGGAGGAGAGAGTCGGGACCGCCATGGCTAGCTCGTTGTAGCCGAGGTGAGTGAGGCAGGAGAGCGGTGCGGATGAAGGCGGATCGCGAGTAGAGACGACCTTTTGTTGCTGCAGGTGTTGCGGCTGTGGAATCGGTGGTGATTGAACCGACTATGGTTTTTACAAAGCTTTTTGAGCGGCTCGCGAGGTGCAGAAGGAGAGAGGATGATGATGGGTTTAATTTTTTTTTTTAATTTTTTAATTTTTTAAATTGACATATCATTAATTTAACGGTCCAGTCAGCAGTTCCGTTTGCCACGTCAACAAAAAACTGACGGAGGTAACGGAGTCTAACGGAGACTGACGGCCAGTGACTAACGGTGAAACGATTTGTGAAGTTAGTGGCGAATAAGAAAGAAAAATAATTTGAGTGGCAAACATGAAAGATTTATGTAATTTGAGTGACCAAACGTAGGTGCCATGATTTCCAAAATCTTTTTGTTAACTGATTGAGAACAAATGTATGGTTATTACAACCAAGCCAATGAGAATCCAACTGTCCCGACTCCCGAGGGTGCAATTTTGCTATCGGACCGCACAATTTGTGAGAACGTGCTTGTAAATATGCATGATCATCGGATAAGTGTTTTGAGACGTCAAAGGTCAGAATTGTTGCATACATGGCTCCCGAACAACTTTTGTCGACAAAAGCTAGAATCGTCGCAGACGTGGCTCCGAACAACTTCTGTCGACAAAACCTCCAAAATGACACATCTTTTTCACCGTTATTTTTAGTAGATCTGGCATCCTCTCGATTAGAAGAAATCAGATCAAACCTATCATTTTGAAAAAAGGTGCCCGACGTCAGACGATCTCAGAGTTAGTGCTCGTACTTGGGCTTAGTGTGTTAGTTTGATTTTCTAGGAAAATGCCATAGGAAACTGAAAGAAAAAGTGAGCAGAAAGGCAGAATAAATTTTGGGCTAACAGTTGGTAGTTGTCGACTCTGCGCTATTTACTAAACTCCGCAGATTGTCGCAAACCCCACCGCAAAAGTGCGCACTCCGAAACTGTCAAGCTCTCTTCTCCTCCTCCTTCTTCCACTAATAAAGAGATCAGTAGGCCAACCCAAGTTCCCGCAACTTGCAATTGCCGCACCTGATACTCTGATACAAAAGCGACCCACTCCCGCCGCCGCCGATGCCGCCGACTTTCCTCCTCCCCCTCGCCGCCGCCTTCCTCCTCCTCCTCCTCCTCCACCTCCATTTCCCTTTCGCCAGTAATTCTCTCCTCCCTTCTCTTTCCCTCATCATTCTCTCTCTAAAAAACCAAACTTTCCCAACTTCTTCAATTACTCTGTTTCTCCTCCTCCCCTGAATCCGATTTTCACCGGACACTGACAAAATGGCTTCTAGCGAATAACTTCCAATCCCAATCTCTCTCTCTCTCTCTCTCTCTCTCTCTCTCTCTCTCTCTCTTTTCCTTCTTGAATCCAGAGAGGTCTGATTTCTATCCTTTTAATTTCTCACTCTCTGTTTTTTTTGTTGCTAATTTTGCAGGCTCCCAATCCTACATCGGAGTCAACTACGGCCAGGTCGCCGACAACCTCCCGCCGCCGGCCGCCACCGCCAAGCTCCTCCAGTCCACCGCCGTCCAGAAAGTCCGCCTCTACGGCGCCGACCCGGCCATCATCCGCGCCCTCGCCAACACCGGGATCGGGATCGTGATCGGAGCCGCCAACGGCGACATCCCGGCCCTGGCGTCCGACCCCAACTCGGCGGGTCAGTGGGTCAACTCGAACGTCCTACCCTTCTACCCGGCCAGCAGCATCGTCCTCGTCACCGTCGGCAACGAGGTCCTCCTCTCCGGCGACCAGAACCTCATCTCCCAGCTCCTCCCGGCGATGCAGAACGTGCAGAACGCGCTCAACTCGGCCTCCCTCGGCGGCAAGGTCAAAGTCTCCACCGTCCACTCCATGTCCATACTGGGTCGGTCCGACCCGCCTTCCTCGGGTTCGTTCGACTCGTCGCATCTGGACGCGATGAAGGCGCTGCTTCAGTTCCAGAGAGGGGTCGGGTCCCCGATTGCCGTGAACCCGTACCCGTTCTTCGCGTACCAGAGTGACCCGAGGCCCGAAACGCTGGCGTTTTGCTTGTTCCAGCCCAACGCCGGGCGGGTCGACTCGGGGAGTGGGATCAAGTACATGAACATGTTTGACGCTCAGGTCAGAGTCAATTCCCTTTCATTTTTTTTCCAACTCGTTTGAAAATTTCCATTATTTAATTTTTGAATTAATTTAATACGGAAATTTTGGGATTAGGACACTTAATCCATTGTCGCTGAATTAATTAACCTAGCTAGAGATTAGTTGATGGGCTGTGAGTGGGCCCAAAGCCCAATTTCGGTAGCGTTACCCAGAAGACAAATGTACGTAGGACAGGCGCATGTGATAATACGTGTGGAAAATATAATATACTGAGTTACTGACGTAGGATTCGTGGAAGAACTAGATTCTGCCATTGTTAGCTGTTACTTTCCTTCATCATATTTTCTCATCCCTTATCTTGTGATGTAAGGAACGTGAAAGTCAATATTATTAATAATTAAAACAATGAAAAAATTGCATTTGTAGATCATCATGGATTTGTTGTTTCCGATAACAAACCAAAAAAAAAAAAAATGTCACGTTGGGTTCCCACCATGGTTGTCATGCCAGTGGCATGCCACCCGGTTCAACCTGGTTCAACCTGTGCCGGTCATGAAATCGGCATGACACCACCGGTATGATCGACTTACGCATTCTAAGTTTAATGACATCATTTTAATGAATTTAATGGATAAAAAATTAATTTATTATTCATTTTTATGAATGTAATAGTTAAAACTTGATGATATTTGTTGGATTGTAACTAAATTGTCCACAAATATGTTTTATATATGATTAAATACATTGAATATTAATTTTTTCACATTTTTTAAACCGGCATGAAGCGGCACAAACTGGTTATACCACCGGTCGTACCATTCCACTTGTCAAACCGGCATAACGGTATAAACCGATTTGACAACCTTGGTTCCCACTTACTAGTGTTGAATTATGAAGTGAATGTGAAAAACCATATAGTGGTTTTTACATATGACCATAGGGAAGTAGGGGAAATTCGACTATTACGCTAAATGGATATGTTTACGCGTTATCAGTCGTTTGATTTGTTATAAGGTGATTTGTGGAACCAGCGGCGGATCCAGGATCGGGTAGAGCACTGTGCCACATTAGAAAAAAGGCGAATAGGGCTGGGCCGTAACATGACGAACACTAAAACGAACACCGAAAATCGAAAATTTACAAGTGCTATACTAGCTTTAAATCGAGGGAGGGCTGGGCCGTGACCCGGGGAGGCCCCTAGATCCGCCGCTGTGTGTAACCTATCACAACATTCGATTGCGAATCTAGCGGTCGAGTTTGGTCCTTATGCCTATTCCATTCAGTAGTCAAGTCAGGCTACTCGCTGGTAGCCGTAGCCCTAGAGATTATTGATGAAGAAGGAAGTAGCCAATCAAGGAAGAGGGAATTTGAAAATTAATGAGGTCATACATCAATTATTTCCGAGCTCAATTATTTTTAAGCTATGGTTTTGTCATGAAAGATTCCATTAGGAAAAGAGGAACACGTTACTAATTACCTTGGTTGGAACTTGATTGGACTCGTTTTGTGTCTATGTGCTTGAATATATTCTGGGGGCTGACAGCCTGGCCATTACTAGGAAGCTACCAAAGAAATATGATTGCTTTTTAGACCCAAGAGTCTCAATGTCAATTATTGCACATCCATAAGATAGGGTTGATGCCTGATGGACCCCGACTACTGAGGCAGGACAATGAAATGATGAATTGGATTTGGTCTTTCATCACTTCACTTAATTAGAAAACTGGTTACTTCTGCCCCTATGGTGTTCAAAGGGCATATGTGAGAACACATGCCCACAGGCCACAAGGCGCTCAACCGTCTGGCCATTGGATGGAAGTAATGTCCATTTATGTACAAAATTGTCATCGCACTTTCATCCAAAGGTCTGTCACGGAGCACCCGAACCAGCATAAGAACAGAACTGTCTCTTGTCACCAAATTTCATCAATCGGGTTAAAAATGACTGCTTAATTTTGAGGGGAAGGAATGGTCATCTCACCTCTTGAGCTTCTCATGTCTTTAATATACGGTTAATGTAGCTAGCGGAAGAGATTGCGTGGTATGGGCTGGATGTTGTGTGTGTCACGAGTTTTGAGTTCAAGAAACGCTACTATCACCTAACCAAATTTGTGTTGGGAAACCATAATCCCACTTTGAAATATGTAAGAAAATAGTGTCTTTCTAACCTAAACCAAACACTACTTCAAGTATACGTCGATTTGTTCCTAAGGTTGGATTTTTCACAATGAAAACATGTTTGTGTTCCGTTCCATACCAATCCAAACCTTTGCCTTTTCTGCTTTCCTTTGTGCCCTGCAGGTTGATGCAGTGAGATCGGCTCTGAACGGAATTGGGTTCAAGGACATAGACATCATGGTCGCGGAGACAGGGTGGCCGTACAAGGGCGACCCGAACGAAGTCGGGGCGAGCGTGGAGAACGCCAGAGCATACAATGGCAACCTCATTGCTCACCTCAGATCCATGGCCGGAACGCCATTGATGCCTGGCAAATCCGTCGACACCTACCTATTCGCTCTCTACGACGAGGACCTTAAGCCGGGGCCTTCGTCGGAACGTAGCTTCGGCCTCTTCAAGCCCGACCTCTCCATGACTTACGACGTCGGCCTCTCCAAGACCAGCACCACCAGCCAGCCGGTACGTTTAAATTAAACCCCTCTAAATTGCGGAAAATTTTCCTAATTATTACACGGGTTATTACAACAAATTTTCACAATACTAGAGTTTGACGTGGTTCGCTCTAGTGTTAATGTCAAGTGAATTAGGTAGTGATTCGTTAGAGACATGAGAGATTTACTTCAATCCAGTTCCATTCTGTTTCAAACAGAAGCGAACCAGCCGGATCGCGACATATACGAGGGAACCAGCCTCTCGAATCACTCGGATTGTGGGAGACCGGAACGAATTAAGCCTCGAACCAACTCCAAATCTATCACTAACCTAGGTCAAAACTTTGAAAGAATGTGATTTTGTGCTATGTATCCGATCGTAGTGAAAATTTTTCGTTTGGTTTGATTACGATCAGATAATCGAGTGCGAATTCGCGATTGTTCAAAGTTTCGACCTATGTTAGGTGTAAATTGTGGGGTCATCAGCAATATGATGTGATTCGCTTGAGCGTGCCGCTATCCATGTTGGTTTCAAGGCAGCTGGTTCGCTTGGGTCGGCTGTGATCCCCCAATCCAGGAGTAGATCGATCCTCTTTCCAGTAAATCACCACACAAATCGCTTGACAAATTCTAGTACTTTGAATTTTTTGTTGTTGCTAAGTGTGGTATTGTGAGAATTTCTTTTATCGTAATCCTTATAGTGTGGGAAATTTCTCCTAAATTACTTGTGTGTAAAGTAGGGGTGGCTATACGGTCCGGTCCGGTTAAATTGGACCAAATTGATCCGGTCCCAGTCCGGTCTTTTCGGGAATATAAGGATCAAAGATTGGATTGGATACAGTCCGGTCTTGACCCGATCCGGTCCCAATTTAATCTTGATTTTAGGTGTTGGGGTCTCTTATCCGGTCTTTATCCGGATGTTTTTTACCTCAAATCTAAGCCCGAATATGAGATTGGATTGTTTGCTATCCGTTACCAGTCCGGGTTATATCATATATGGTCCGGTTTCGGGTAAAACCAAACAGTCCGGGACCAAATAGCCGCCCTAGTGTAAAGGCGGGCTTTTTGCTCATTTCACACCTCTAGTTTCGTGTTTGAAATTTTTGGCAGAGTCCACCATCGTCGTCGGAGAAAACGCCATCAGGTGGAGGATCGCCGGCGGCAGGGCAGGAGCGATGGTGCGTGCCGAAAGCAGGGGCGTCCGACGCGCAACTGCAGGCGAGTCTGGACTACGTGTGCGGGCAGCAGGGCATCGACTGCGGGCCATTGCAGCCAGGCGGCGCGTGTTTCGAGCCCAACACACTCGCTTCTCACGCCGCCTACGCCATGAACCTCTACTTCCAGCGCTCCGACAAGCGCCCTTGGAACTGCGATTTCTCGCAGACCGCCGCCCTGTCCTCCAATAACCCCAGTAAGTAATTCATCTTCCATCCGTTGATCATATTGTATTATTAATATCTTGTCCCTGCATTGCTACTAGTAGCCATTGGTGATCTGATCAATTCTCTGAATGTTTTGTCTCTGAAATAATGTTGCCAGGCTACAATGGCTGCAATTACCCTGGCGGCGGTACGTGACGGCGGGGAGGGTAGCTACTGCTGAAATTGAAGGGTTGTGTTGGGAATTATTGGTGAGGGAGCTTAAATCAAATTACCGCTTATACCGTTAGCTGACTGCATGTCTAGTTTTGAGGGCCATGTTTTGGATCATCAAAATCAAATGCTAGTTAAGCTATTAGCTAAGTGTACTTGTATTAGGGAATAAATGCTTCCTCCTCTCTTCAAGGTTTGATGGTAATAGTGCTCTTCCAGAAATCCCCTCACTCCTAATTAATTGATAGAAACCTGGTCTCTATTGGGTATTGAGATATTTGGATTATTGTTTATGTTTGTGGCATTTCTGTTATTTTGGAGTTACCACTTACCTGATATTTGTTTAATAGGCTTAATTATGGGGAGTTTTAAGGGAATTTATCGGGTTATTAGGTCTATATATTATGTACTTGTAGTTTGGGATTAATTACGTAATGGACGATATTTAGATGCAACCCAGTCTGTAGGATCTGCCTACAGTAGGATTGGGAAACCGAGAGGTTGGAGTATAGACCACAGACCAGACCGCAGACTATACGGTCCGGTCCAGACCACGTATGTGCGGTCTGGTCCGGTACGGTTTGGTCCAGGTAGACCATACTCAATGAAAAATGAACAATTTGTTTAGTCAAACGCATAAAAAGTTCAACCAATAACCAGGAAAAAATATTATTTTTTTGCCTTAAAACATTATTCTAACATGCATTAATAATTTTGACACCTTAAATCTTAGTACATAACAAAGATACAAAGTAAAAACATCCCAACTTGTACCATAATGTCATAAACATAAACATAAACATAATTTCACATGGAGACACGATTATCTGTACTATCTAGTGAAATGTGGTTGTGAATTATCTAGTGAAATGTGGTTGTGAATGAAGGAGGGGACGAGATTCTCAAAATTAAGGTTGAGAATTGGGTGTCGTTGTGGGAGTTGGGAGAGTGGTCGAATGGGTTGTTAACACGTATTGTAAAGTCAGGTTGGGTCCACGGTTTAGTCCGGTAAACCACGATCTAGACCAGACCAGACCAATAAATCAAAACATCAAATAATACAGACTATGGACCAGACCAGACCATACTTAACGGTCTACGGTACAGACCAAACTGTGCGGTCCGGTTTGGATCATGGTTTTTCTAACGGTCTGATCTATTTTCCCAGCCCTAGCCTAGATCCTCTCTACGTGGCTTGCAACCATTGCATGATTTTTAATATTTAATTAAGATGCAAATTTTTGAAAACGGAAGCACTTACGGCGACAAGGGCCGCCGACTATCTATGCTCCAATGTGGTCGGCGATCGTTCCGCTTTGTTAAGGCCAATGACCCGACACTACTGACAGCAACGATGGAAATGTAATCGCCACAAGTATATTGGAGAAGAATTCTCTAGGTTCGAAAACATATTTAAGGTTAAATTCTGAATTTGGTTTTGTGTTTTTATGATTTTGGAGAATGATTTAGTGGGATTTTTTTTTTAATCCATCGGAATAGAGATCGGCGGAGGCCACAGTCGGTGCAACTCTTTCCATTTCCAAAAGATTTGCAGCTTTAACCCATCGGAAAAGAGACTGCCGGAGCCTTCCGTCGCCGCAAATGTTGGTGTTTCCAAAAGAATTGTAGCTTTAATTAAATATTAAAAATCATCCAATGGTTGTAAGCCACGTAGAGAGGCTGTAGGGAGACACTACAGACTGGGTTGCATCTAAATCTTACACTCTCTTCTGTCTTGGCGAATCTCTATCTACATGCAATTCGCTCACTTCGGTCCTAATTCTCCCTCTCTCTCTATTCCTCTTTTGTTCGTCCATCACCCCGACCAAATCCTTCCTGCCTCTCAAATCCTCTTATTGTTCGTTAATCAATCCATATGTTTGGAGTTGGATTAGGATTGTAAATGTAGTCGGCGGTCAAGTCTTGGGCCGAGTAGGTTAGGTGAGCTTTTAGGTCCAGGGTTGTCTTCACTGTAAATGTGTACTTTGGTGTTCATTTCATATTCATTGAAGAAGAGAATAATAAAATAGTAGTGTTTAAAAATAATCCTAGTGTTTTTAGGAGTAGATTAAAGTAGAACTTCCCCTTTTCTCTAACGAATTGATATCTTTTTCATAGATCTTGATCAGAATAACTGTTGAAGTAATGAATCCATCTTTTTTGTGAGGCATGCGGGGAGTAGAAACACCCTCATAATGAAGTTAGGAATACCTTGGATGACAGCTATGAGTAATGTTTCCTTCCCTCCATGAGAAAGAGTATGAATCTTCCAAGAGCTAGATTTCTTCTCCATCCACTCAGTGAGTAAAGCAAACGTCTCCTTTCGTGAGTGACCCCATTCCGTTGGTACAGCAAAATACCTGTCATGGCTAATGGACGACGAGAACCTCAAGAAAGAGGTGATGTATTGTCTCACATCTGGTGCGGAGTTTTTTCTTAAGAAAACATAGGATTTGTCCATGTTGACCTCCTGTCCCGTCAAAAATTTATACCCATTGATAACATTCATGATTGCCTCAGCTTCCTTTGGAGAAGCTTTTTCGAAGATCATTATATCATCTGTGAAAAAACAAAGAGAAAAGCGAGGGCAGTTAGGCTTCATTTTAAGGCCTTGAAAAGATCCTTGAGACAAACCTTTCTCAAGCAAGAACGATAAAGCATTATACATTAGCATGAAAAGGAAGGGAGAAAGAGGGTATCCCTGGAGGACAACTCACTGCCTGTCCTTCATACTTGCTTTATTCTTGTTTTTTTTTTGTAATCTGCTACCCTTTTATTAATTCAATCAGTTCATCCTTACCAAGAAAAAAAGAGAGCCTCCCCGACGGATGCCGCGAGAAGGGGGAAAAGAACTCCGTAGGTCCTTCATTGAGGAGGATTGATAATTGGACCGTCCTTACACTCCCTACCGCAGTTGCGCCATGTTTGGTTACAACCGTAAGCTCTAAGTAGAGCATCCAAATAATCCCATTCAACCAAATCATATGTTGCATCCACATATCCAGCTTCATCATCATGTCAAATCTTCTTCCATGTCTCCGATTCTTTAGGTGATGAAGAACCTCGTGCACAATGACAACATTATCTTGAATCATCTGTCCACAGGGATGGCAATGGGGCGGGTTTGGTTAAACCATCCCCATCCCCGCTTTCAATTATCTATACCCATACCCGCCTCATACCCATGCCGTGAAAGGTTTTGCAAACCCATCTCCCATACCCGTGGGTTTCGGGTACCTATTGGTAATACCCGACCCATACATCCAACATTATAATACCTAAAACTTTACATGTAGATTTTCAATTATAACATTGAACGCACCTAATATATAATGAAGTCGACGAAGAGAAAATCATTCTTAATAAGGTTCAACGTATCTTATACTAAAACATACTTAATCCTTAAGTGTAACACCCTAGTCCGGCCGGACACTACTTTTATCAAAAATACCCATGGTAATCCATGAAATTAAAATAAGAGTTAAAATATACTTAGAAAATAGCAAAAACTTTTCATAAATAACTTTAATAAATACTTAAATAACTGTCATTACTTAAACCCGAAGTCCTAACACTTGGGCAAACTCAAACCATAAAATCATTCTTTTAACATCCCGAACCTTTTTCCGAGCAAGATATTGTCCGCTTTGGGTCTCGACCCGCACGGTTTTCGACTTGTGGTGCAATTCAAGGTGACTTCCCATAAGGTCACCCATCCTTGTATTGTACTCCACACTGAGCACGTTTAACTTCAGAGTTCTCACAAGAACTCCTCCATTTCACCCCAAAACGCGTCTTGTCAGTTAAGGTCGATTTCTTACTTATGAACCATGGATCTCTCCGTGCTTTGTCGATGTGGGATTTGCCTAAGGTGTTACATTAAGATAGAGTACAACATCCATATCATTATTCTCAGACTCTGATACATCTACTACGTAATAACTAACTAAAATAATCTTGTTAACACGAGAAAAAAGGGGAAAGAGTGAAGGGAGGGTCGAGGAATAGGAATTAGATTTTAATTTGGGTGGTCACTCAATTGCATTTTTACTATTTATTTTCTTGAGTTACCCTCACTATCATTGATATGTTACAATTTTATCCATGTATGTTTATTATGTGAAAAATGCTCTTGATGTGGAAGATATGTGTATGGGCATGGAACGGGGAAGCTAAAACTATACTCAACCCATACCCATCAAACATTCTGCAGGTTTTACCTATACCCGTCTCATACCCAGTTAAAGCGGAAATTTATTGCGTTGACTAGATCGAAAACGATTGGATACCCACGACCATGAATTTGATTACCATTTCTACTTTCACCAAATGAGAACTGCTTGCATTTCGGATACCAGGCTATGCAAGTAGACATACTCTTCGAATTGTATTCGAAGTTGCATCATGAAAAGAGCTTGGACCTCCGCACAGAGATCCTCCCCAACTGTACTCCAATAATTGCAGATGAAGCGAGAAACACGTGACTTGTTTGGACTCAATTATCAATTTTGTGTCTTATGTGCTGAATTTATTCTGTGTTTGACAGCCTGGCCATTACTAGAAGCAAGATGATGGAATTTTTAAACCATTAGTCTCATTCTCATATCAGATATTGCGCACCCGTCCACAAAGTGGACCCAGGTGACACGATGCCTCTTTGGAATGGTGATGAGCAAGTTCAGACTTAACTCATCGATTTGTAGAGCGGAAACGAGAACGAAAGTATGAGAGCGTCTATTATTCAAGAATTATATTTTAGGACTTGAGAGTGTGGAGAAAGCATGTATATTATATTTTATACATTATCTAATTTATCTTATATTCTAATGACCGAATAACAAAGCTGGAATTGGTACTTACTAATTCCACGTCGTGGGCCTTACATTTTGTTTTGGTTATATAATAAAATGGGTTTCTGTTTGTGGACTTAGCATATGTTTTGGGCCCACAACAGGGGTCAGTAAATGTGAGTAACCATCAGTAACCTGTATACATCCGCATGACATCAGCATCGCTTCTCTTCGGTATTAGAATATAGGACTTGAATGTAATTCGCACTTAGTTAGATGATCATATTGTAAATGTACATAGGTTAGTTGAAGAGTTAGTTAGATAGATAGACTATATAAGCTGTAACAATCTGTAAAATCCTTCACGTTTTTTCTCTCAATCAATCAAGCTTTCAGTGTTAATCAGAAACTCTAGCATGGTATCAGAGCTCTTCTGAGCTGCCTCGCTCGTCTTCTCGCTTCCGCAAACTCATCTTCTTCCAATTTCTTCGCAAAGCTTTCTTCGCGTCCTCCTATGGCTTCGAATTTCTCTGTTCCTTCTGGCTTCGAAGCCGAAAATCCTCACAATGGAGGTCGCCAGCACGGATCTGGTGGAGTTTCTTACCTCGGCATCGCGATTTCTGATCCGGCTTCTCCCTTTTTCATTCATCCCTCGGAGAATTGGG